GTACTTGGAATTGGCATACGTGACCGACCGCGTTTTTTAAGCTATATTGGACAAGATACTGATGGCAGGACAAATCGTCATCAATTCGTTAATAGACTTTTGTTTTATGAAATAAAGTACGTAAATTGTACCTTTTGTAGCTCTCATAATTTAGTGCCATACACTATTGTATGGTATAAACGTCATGTAAAATGAGCAAATTGTAAAAATTTGTTGGATGCAAATCAGCGTTTTTTTGACAGTAAAAGCAGTAAGCAAAATATGTGAGCGTAGACTTTACATATGTTTCATTGAATTACGGCAACACATTTTATGTGGTATTACCGAAAATATGTGACTAAACTTTTACGCATGACACATGTAATACAGCTGCTTGTGCTCTTAGCAGTGCACCTTTCCCGACAAATTGACTAGTAAATTTAAAACAGCACAAGCTCTCGCAGAAAAATTTCTTTATTGTTTGATAAACTATACATGCTATATAATAATGTTGTAATAGAAACAATTATACAAATCACGTAAATTTACTGTTGTGATACTTCCGTCTATCCCAAACGGTAGAAAGTTTAGAAAAACTGTTTCAACTATCATCTTATCACGTAAATAAATAAACCGCATTGCCACCAACTCTATCCTTGTGCCTACAGCATTTGCCGTTGATTCATTTGCATCTGCATCTGCATCTGCTGCTGCTGCTGCTGCTGATACAATTGCATTTGTAATTGATGTTGCTGCCGCTGAGTCTTACCATTCGCAACAAATGCAACTCCCACCAATATGATCCCTCCAATAACCAATAAAGCAATGCCACTATATTTGAGCGCATAATATGAATTTCTACAATTAACAGCACAGGTGTTGTAATAATCCGAGTAGCTTGAATATGGACAATTATTGAGACAACCGTCAAACGTTGACTTGGACGCACCCCACATTGCGCCGCCCGCTATGGCGAGTATTAATGCAAATATCGCAAAGAAAAGCTCGTTGGTGCAATATCCAGGCGTACTGGTAGCTATCATGGGTGGAGGATTATTGAAAATCATCACAGGAACTCCTCCCATCCGCGGAGTACCGTTATCAGAGACCGTGTATACTGCGGCCGGATTAGTTGGGTTTGGCCTACCATCTGGACCGACAGCGTACATTGTTTGCGTGTTGTAAGCCTGATTAGTCGTAAGCTTGCTGGAATACTGGGTAGGGTTTCCTGAGGGTAAACTAACAGGAGTGTTACTACCGCCAGTCAAGTTTTGAGAGTTGTAGTATGCCATATCGGCAATTGAGAGAGAAAAGAGTAATGGGCATTTTTTTATGGGGCGTAAAAACGGTTAAGTTGTCATGCGCATGATTCGGCAAGAAAAAATTACAATCAGGTAGCCTAAAGTTTGCCGACAATAAGGTTGTACATGCGTGTAACAGAACCCGAAGTTACACGGCTATAATTATCTCACCTAAAGTGGTCTATTATATGCTACACTGATGTGCGAGCAGTAAATTTGTAAAGTTGACATTAAATTTAAAAGAGCTACAGTAAGCACAACGTACTTATCAAACAACATGTTGAAGTAGTCAACTTGTTAGGTAGCTTGCACGCTGTGTTCAAACAAAAAATACCCTGCTGTATAATTTTCTTGAATGTAATTTCGAATAACTTTCATAACTGATTGTTACAACAACCAACCTTTTCAGTTTTGTACGTGAATTACTATAACAATTTCCTTTCTGGTTAACATTTCTCTTGCCAGGCTGTAATATGAAAGCTTTCTTGATTGCATTACTTCTAACAATGCTTTATTCACAACGTATCAAAACATTTATTCGTATCTACGTAATCACAAATAATATAGTAAGGTGTGAAAATATGAAAGCGATTGACCTAATATTTTTATTTTTAAAAATAACATTGCTTTTAAAATATTAGCTTCATTATCGTATTGCCAACAATAGTTATTTGTCACATGTGTCGCTCATTTTTTGTACAGCTTGAACCACGGCCTTCAGTTTACAATTTACCCGTATTTACTATCACAGAGAACTGTTAGCTTTTCTTATCAAACATTAACAATGTAATTTTTATTTTGTAATATGAAACACTAAAACACAATTTATTGCGTTCTCGATTCTCTACACCTAGCCAAGCGGCCAATATAGTTTACTGTCGTCAAATAGTTGCATCAAAAGTTAATCGGCACATGTTTCATAAGAGTGATTTTATCAGTAAATCAATCACAAACGATAATATATATTGTCACGGCTGATGTTTGTAATACCAATAACATGACCACGTTTGGTTTTATTAATCGCATAGAATAAAACAAACTAAATCGAATAACTTATTTACTTATTAAATACGGAACAAAAAGCAGGCATTGGTGTACCATTTTTCGTGCATAACGCTAACCAAATAAGTTATATCAATGGCTTATCTATGTAAAAGTTAACCAATAGTTATAAATAAAACACGTAGTTCGACAGAGAAAAGATAGCGTTCAAAAGAATATGGTTTATCTAATTGATAGAATCTGTATATAAACTAGTTTTTCAAATACAATAGAACGTTGCTAGGTAATGCAATGTTATCTCAGCCAATACAAAAGAGTTACTTGCCAAATAAGTATCCATTCTTTTTTATTGTGATAATCGACATTGAGATAATTTTAAGAGTTGGCAAAATAATAAGCAAAGCCAATAATTGGCTGTAAACATAATCATTCTGGTCTCTCAACTAATGCAAGAAATTTATCATAACATATTTATATTTTATTCAATAATGTTATCGACTATATAACATTAAGACACTATTCAGTGAGAAAAAGCCTTCGAATTTGTTATCAGCTTTAATGATATGTAAGACTTAAGTTAGACGCAGTAACTTTGGATATTGTATAATAAACGGTTATTTTATTTGTTTACAATTGATGTTACATGTAGAAAAGTAAAAAAATTAAACTGTAAAAAATTGTCTCAATGGACTCCTTACACTATTTATAAACAAAAAAAAAATTCCTATGACACTACCAAAAATTTATACTTGCTGGGTTTGGAGCACTTGCTGTTGATTTATTTGCATTTGCATTTGCTGCTGCTGTTGTTGTTGCTGCAGGTATAATTGCATTTGCGTTTGCATTTCGTGTTGCTGACGCTGGGCTTTGTTATGCAAGCAAAATCCAACTATCGTTAACAAGAGCAGGCCAATAGCCAATAAAGCAATGCCGCAACCTTTGAGCGTATCAGCTGTGCTTTTACAGCTATTAAGGCAGTCTAATTCTTGGCTCGAAGAGGAGTAGTAGTTGTAGTTGTAGTTGTTTACACAATTTTGGCCACAAGAGTCGAGTGTTGAACCTGACACTCCCCACATTACGCCGCCAGCTATAGCAAGTAATACTGAAAGAATTGCAAACGCAAACTCCCTGGAGCAACATCCAGGCTCTGATTGTGGAGACGCATTGGTAACAACCGTGGTTGGAGGGTTATTAAAAGTCATCATGGTGGTTCCCACTCCCGGAATGTTTGGTTTGCCATCGGGACCAACAGCGTATATTATCGGGTTGTTACCATCAGTCGTGTTTTGTAGATTAGAAGTATGGTTGTATGCCATATCGACAGAGGAAAGAGATGAAATAATGGCTGTTTGTTGTAGTTGTGTAGTAATAGTAGTAGTAGTAGTAGTAGTTGTTGTTGTTGTTGTTGTGTTGGTTTTTTTTTTACAATGAAAAAGCTGGGTTTATTATATACTATTATGCAAAAAAAAAAACCCCCCCCGACAAAAGAATTGGAATAAGAATAAGAAAGAAATTTTTATATTTTATACTATACTGCGCTCAAAGTTTGCGAACAATAAAGTTGTACTCCGTATTAAACAAGTTACACGGGTAAACTTGCTTCCTTTTTTATCACCTTTTTTTCGGACAGATCTCCGATAAAACTAAATCTCTTTGTGAGACGAGATTATCAGAAATTGACACGGTTAAAAATATTTCCTTTTTTTACCCAATTGTTTTTATTTTGGCCAAAGTAACTATTTTTTTTCTCAGATATATTTTAGTATGCGTAATAGCAATTAGTAAATTTGTAAAGACACTTATTTAAGGTAAAAGCTGTTGTAGACAAATACAATTAAGCCATGAGTTAAAAAGTTAATTTCTGAGCTCACAGTGATAACATTCAAAAAGATTTGTAGAGGCAATTTGCAGCGAGAAGAGAACACTTTTGTGTATTCTGCATGCCTATCTGTAGCTAGTTGTCGCAACAAATGTTCACCGACACCCCATAACCAATTATATTACATTATATAAAGTAAAAGACACTGAGTAAAATGCATTGCAACATTGTATAAAATAATTAACCTAAAACAGTGTTTTGATTCTCCAAAGTTTTAATATACTATCTGGTAAAAAGTTTTCGGAGAAATAACTACCAACAAAATAAGCGTTTTTCGAATTTTACGTCTAATTCTTTTGTATAATTAAACTAGAGCTGAGGACAAGTAATTAAACTTGTGGACCTTCGATTTATCAACATTTTGTACGGTTGAAATCCCATACCGTTCGACTTTAGATTACTTTTGCCTCAGATATCAGTAACGTTTTGTATAAATAATTTCGTCAATACGTTTGTTACCAATTGTTTTAGTCTCAACCGATTGTTTAATTAGTTATATGTTCTCAGTAAAATAATATTATATTTATTGACAACATAATCGATAAACACTGTCAAAGCATATCGCTAACCAACAACATGACTGTTATCTATTAAAATAATCAGTAATATTTAAATAGGTACTACTACGTTTGTCTCTATTAAATACATAGAATAAACTAAATAAGATCAAATAATAATCGAATAGCTTATTCCTTATTCAATATGAAACAAAAGAAAGAGGCTTTGGTATTTGCATTTCATGCATATCGCTAACCAAATGAAGATACATTTATGAAGCTTGGCACAATGAAAGTTAACCAATGTCATCATAGCATTTAACAAAGATAGTCGCCACATGACCATAGCATTAATATGGGTTCATTTAAATCTTTATAAACTTAAAAACGTGCATTGTAAGGAGTTGTGTCAAAACTTTTCTTTGTACACATTAATAAACTACTTCAAATGTTACAACACAATCTCAGCCAATTACAATAAAATATTGAATAGCATGACAAACGCATTTTTAGCAAAATTTTTAAAGGTTTACAAAATAGCACAAGCCAGTAATCGGAGATGGATCCGATCGATTACCATAAAAGTAAATCAGTGTTATAAACATACGACTATTTCACTAGCCTAACGGAGAAACTCACTATGGCAATTTGCTGGGCCATCAATTGATTATATGACTACAATCTGGTGAAACTTGTTATCATCGTTTTTGTGTTCTTGCATATTGCATCTTGTTGTGCAAATGACGTTCGACATTATTACCAGCGAGAAGACAGAGAAAAGTGAAAAATGCGAGCCGGTTACCAGTTTTGATGCTATGTAAAACTTTATCATTTCTCAGACGCAACAGTCTTGTATCGTATAAGAATTATTTTTTATTTATATGTTAATAATTAATGTTATATTGTATGACAAGACAAGTGACATCAAAAAGAAAGAGAATTTACACCGCAAAAGTCTGGAAAAGAACAGTCTCGATCACCTTTTAACAAACTATAATGCAAGATGTTACATATCACACCAGTACATATGTTTATACATGTGTTTGAAGCATCTGTAGTTGATTCATTTGCATTTGATGCTGCTGATACATTTGCGTTTGCAGTTGTTGTTGTCGCTGCTGGGCGTTATTGTATATGTAAACTCCAGCCACCATCAACAGGACTCCACCAAAGATCAATATAGCGATGCCACTAGTTCTGAGCGCATCATACGAACTTTTGCAATCATCAGGACAGCTATCCGAAACGGTGAGAAAGTTAATTATGCAATTTTCCAGACAAGAGGTATATGTTGATTTTGACACTCCCCACATTACTCCGCCAGCTATAGCGAGTAGCATCCCGAATGTTGCAAACAAGAACTCTTTGGGGCAACACCCAGGGCCAGGCTGTGATGGTGGAGGATACGCATTAGTAACAATCGTGGCTGGAGGGTTATTGAAAGCCATCATGGGGACTCCAACCACCGGAGTATTATTCTCGGCGACCGTGTTTGGCTTGCCATCTGGACCAACGGCGTGCATTGTCGTATTGTTGGGAAACGGATTAATAGGAGGATTTCTCCCATCAGTCGAGTTTTGCAGATACGGAGAGTTGTTGTATGCCATATTCACAAACGACAGAGAAAAAAAAAATAATGGTTTGTTTTTTTTTTACGATGAGTAAATTTGATTGTATATACTAGTTTGTCGTGCAAATGATGTCAGCAAAAAAATTTTTGTATGTTTTTATACTATGCTCAAAGTTTGCTGACAATAGGTTGCACTTCATAATAATGCGAGATTATCAGAAATATTGTACGGCTAAAAATAGTTTTTTTTTTTCTACCCAAAGTTGTTCAATGGGTACTAAATTTGTAAAGCTGACATTCATGTAAATATCTTGTTTCAAGAGAAAAGAGTTACCGTTATCAACAAACAGCGGGCAAGTCAAACCAAGAGTCGAAGAGACTAGTTCTTGAACTTACTGTGAAAATATTTGTTGAGGTAAACTCTGTTGTGTATTAATAAAGGATTTTTTAATGTACAATGTAACCACATTAGAGTTATTTGAGCATTACAAATATTGACGGTTTAATTAAAGTTCTTGCTGTGCACTCAATTCTCGGTGTTTATCCAAGCGGCAGGCATAGCTTTTCCACGAATTAGCAAGTGACTAATTTACTGTTTATTTTGTTCAAATAATTAGTTTAACAAACTCGTTTACATTAATACGTTTTCAGTAATATATTATATGTCTCAACAAGTCAAAGATAAACGGTAATTGTCAGCGTAATATTTATTATATTGATTGCAAAATTGTTGTTTTATTGTAGTGCCAAAAAATTATTAAAGTAATTATTAAAAAGTCCAAATAAATAAGTTTTGCTTATCAACATTGTATAAATTTGGCACAGATAACAGGCTGTTATGAAAGAATAATAAGCTGTCATTATGCGTTTTTTTTCTCTATTACAATATTCAAATACTATTGAAAATTTATTTTATTTTAACATAAAATAAAGAAGTAGGACTTTAATGCATAAATGCTAACCAAATAAGATACATCAATGGCATACAATACAGCAATGGCTATTATAATGTGTAACCACATGATTTGAGTAAATAATATATATATTTTTACATTCAAAATATTTGTGAGAGCTCTTTGATTAAATATTGGACTTTTGAAAACCATAAAACTTATTGTTAAACTTTTAATTTTCTAACTGTGACAAAAAATAACTTGCCTTTATGTTGCGTAAAAAAGTGTGTGTTCAAAAAAGTTGTTAGAAACAAAGACTAAAAACGTTTATTGCTATATATATATAATCCATTATTATTCGACACATGCATATTTTATTCCTTTTTCTGACAATGAATAAAATGCTTGGCGTAAGGTTTATGTGTAAAATGTTTGATGTCAGCACAGAAATATAAATCCCCGTCAGCATTATAGACAAGTAAATGCAAAACATAATTATTGTTAATTTTTTTTGCCACACTAAACCAATATTACAATAATATCCGTGCTAACCAATTATGTTATTAATTACATACCCACTATATACTTAGAAAAAGCTTCTTACTGATGTTTGTTGCGATTCTTGTACGTTATAACAATAAACGTTTGTGTAATATCGAAATCAAGTACTACAGTATGTTCTAAAAAGGTTAGTTTTACATACACACTCGATCAGCCGCAAAGCATTCGGATTAAAACTTTTGAGTATCTAGTCAATTTGAATGTTACGTAAAACTCAATACTCATTGTCAGACCAGCAATTTTAGGTAACATATAAACACTATTATTCATATTCTCACAATCGATATTATGTTGCATAACAAAACAAGTAACACCCAGAAACCCTGAACAACAAAATGTCTTCCTACTATACACTCTATAGTTGTATCTACTGCATTTACACTTGCTGATAGAGTTGCAGTTGCAATCGGTAGTTTTGCTGCCGAATTTTATAGAACGTAAACAATCCAACACCCAGTAGCAAGAACACTCCGATAGCCAATAAAATAGCTCCTATTAATGGATATTTTACCACTCCCCACATTACGCCACCCACTATCGCAACCAGTAATGCAAATAATGCAAAGTAAAACTCCTTGTTGTGATTCTCAAGCTGTGGTAGCTGTGAAGGCGCACTGGTGGTGGGAAGTGTGGCTGGAGGATTATTGACAACCTTCGGAGTAGTATTATTCTCGGCAACCGCGTTCGGCTTGCCATCCGGACCGACGGGGTGCATTGTAGTGTTGTTGGAAGGTGGGTTAATAGGAGGATTGCTACCATCGGTCGAGTTTTGTAAATCGGAGGAGTTGTTGTGTGCCATATTTCACTGACGGCAAAGGAAGAAATAATTTTTCAAAGAGCAGTAAATTGGATTTCTACTGCCAGTTGTCGATTGCAAATAACCAGGGAAAAAACAAATTCCATATGTTTTATACTATCTTCAAATTTGCTGGTAATAAAGTACCAGTAACAAGATTAAAGAACGTTTGTTACTATACAATATATTCGTATTCGATGCATTTTTATGGTATATGCAATCTATGCGTCCTTCTTTTTTTGGCAATGAAAAAAAAATGTTTGGCTTGTTTGACAATGGAATGGTGTAAATTTGCAACCATGGTTGGCAAAATAGTCGAACACATGACATGCCGACAGTCGACAAGTCGATGAAATAACCCCCCGTTAAATTATTATTAGTATGATAAGAAAGTAATTATTGCTAATACCTTACCGCACTAGACTAACGACAAGAATTTTAATATAACATCTATTCCAGTCAATGTATACTATCAATTATATCCCACAATCTAATTGTTGCATGCTTAAAACAGCTAGTTAAATCAGCAGCCCCTTGGTACGATTGTAACACAATCGGTATGACGTTTGTGTAAAATATTCCACTTATCCTAATTTGTAAAGACAAAAAAAGAATGTCATACAACTATTCTGTTTCTTGCATGAGAATGGGGCAACCACAAACCGTTCGAATTAAAACTTTGGTTATAAAATTTAATTATAAAATTTTACAAGCACACTTTTGGGTTACAAGCGACATTAAAAAGAAACCGCAAAACGTCTGAAAAAAAAAAACGACCTTAATCTAACAAATTATAAAGGAAAAGGTTATATTGTTGTTTGCACTACTGCGTATTTCATACTTTGTGATTGCTTTGATTCATTTGCGTTTGTATTTGCATTTGCATTTGGCGTTGCTGCCGCTGGATGTTCTTGTATCCAGCTACTAGTAGCAAGACCGCTCCATTGACCAATAAAAGAATGCCGCTACCTTTGAGTACGTCATATGAAAGTTTACAACTATGAGAGCAGTTTGAGTAGTCTTCCGAAGAAGAAAAGTACTTGATTGCACAATTTTCGAGACAAGAGTTAAATTTTGATTCTGACACTCTCCACATTGCGCCGCCTGCTATAGCAAGCATTATTGAAAATGTTGCAAGCCAAAAATCCTTGGGACAATATCTAGGCTTTGGTAATGGTTGAGGCACGTTGATACTAACCGTAGCTGGAGGTGGAGGAACTCCCACCCCCAGAGTATTATTCTCGACGACCGTGTTCGGTTTGTCGTCGGATGGTGGATTAATAGGAGAATTTTTACCGTCAGTCGAATTTTGTAGATTCGGAGAGTTGCCGTAAGTCATATTACCAGACGACAGAGTAAGAAATAATGGTTTAATGTGTAAATTAAACATATATATATGCTTTATACTATGCTCAAAGATTTAACAGCGTTTATTATTATGCAATGTATGTGTTCGTTTCTTCTATTGACAATGAAAAAATGCTTAGCAAGTAAGGAGACATAAAATGGTTACATATAAACCATTAACTGGCAAGTCGGAAAACTAATCCGACTTTCGCTAATACTTTACTACACTAAATATCTCACTATAATAACTACCACAATCCGATTGTTGCATTGACAATGCTCGTTCCAATTGTTTCTGCATTTTTTGCATGTTGTAACATGATCGGCAATGACGTTTGTGTAAATACAGAAATATCTACTTATTATTATCGCTATTCTGTGTAGAAGCAAAAAAGTCTTAAATATTTTGTTTTACATTACACACATGCAATGAGCGACAAATGCGTTTATGTTCAAGAACTTTTCAAACATTTTAATTTTATTAGACGTAGTCTTTGATACAATCGATTGTAAGACAAACAAAGTGGAACCTAAACCGCAGAAAGTCTAACAAACGATTCCCAACTATACACCTTATACTCATGTTTGCTGATATATTTGCAATTTGCATTGCTGTAGATGCGAAATTCTAACTCCCAGTAGCAAGACGAGCCACTTCCATTACGCCGTCCACTATAGTAACCATTATCAATGTCCAGGCTGCGGTAACCCGGTCACAGTAAATGTACGATGTAACACAAACATTCTCTCACTTGAAAAGTTTTTTGTTCACACGATGTCGTTAGTTCCAGGGATCGAAGGCATGCATAATCCAGTAATTAACGATTTGGTTCAAGCCTCTTAGAAAGTAAAGATGAAAACTTAAGACTTGAATGGATTTCTGGTTCAGATATTGCCAACATAGAGCCAACTCAAATTGACAACGTCTAGTACGCTATTCACAAGCAGACGTTCTGTATAAGTCCTTATGTTAGTAAAACGAGGATAATGCTAATATGTCTTGGGAGTAACGAAGAATGTACACCAACACGTGTGAGTGAGTTTGCCAGAACATACTCACTTACAGCGCACAAACATCAACTTATCCGTTTGTATCTGTTAAATTGACTCCACTTGAGATAAATGAGGCACAAGATATATTTTATGTCAAGGTAAACTATTTACTTATGCGTCATGTTTATTGAATAGTTTAAATAATTGTTGACCGTTACCATCCACTAGTTATGTAATAAGCATTCAGATATTCTTACCACGGATGTTTGGGTTACCATCGGATTTACATACAAAGCAAGCGAACAAAGGTATTGTCTTATAATAGCATTGAATGAGCATGGATTATGTCTGGCATGTACGAATCAATTAGAACCCAGAATAAATGCGTTCTGTTATGAATGCAAAGCGCCACGACCTCTTGATTGGACGACTGGCGACAAGCCATTGGATTCATTTATTACAGAGTCGTGGAGTAATACAACTACCGTATATGATGCGTATATACAATGGATAGAATATTCTCTATTAACAAACATACAAGAAAGAGATGACGCCATTACGCCATGGATGCACGCATGTAGCAGAATGGAATGAATTGACCCGCGTAACACTCAAAAAAATAGTTGACGAACAAAGCAATCAGTCGCTTGATTTTCATCAGGTAAATTATACCTGTAAACAATGCCATCGATAAGTACTATCATGCGTTTAATTTACCAGTGTTATAACTATAACGTCGTATTCCGTTTATTCAAAATAGTTAACTGAAGAATACCCGACGATATTAACACCCGATAATATTTGGATAATTGGAATCACTCAGGAGCCATCTACTGGGGAATATTATTTAGTTTTCTATTACGACGTATATGCAATACTGGACACATTTATACGAAATGACGAAGATGTAAAGTACTTTCAGTATAGCGACTTTTATGAACTCAAAGAGATCGGATTTGGTGGTTACGGAACAGTTTATACTGCCAAGTATAAAGAGTATTTAGAGGTAGATAAGGAAACTGTTGTACTTAAACGGTTTAAAAATTTTGATAGAACGCCGGAATTATTTATTTCCGAGGTAAGCAATGATTGGTAGTATTAATTAATGTGATATTTAAGCTGACTCTATTTATTATTTATTTAATAGTTCAGAAATCATGCCAAGTGCATAGTCAATAAGTATAGTTCATTCATTCATATTTATGGAGTGACACAAGACCCAGAGACAAAAGAGTACATGATTGTTATGCAATATGCTAACAATGGCAGTCTTTT